TTGGGAAAGGTAGAGAGTGAATAGTGTATTTGTGACATTATTGTCTTCCCTTGAATTGGAATTGTAAGGGAATGTGATTGATGAATCAGAAACTGACCATAAGTGAAAGTGTATCTATCGAGGAAAGATAATCACATATTGGCTACAGAATCCGGTGAAATCGATCTATTAACAAAAATTGTGGTCTGTTATCTGCTAATAATTTACTTAAATTTGCATAGGTGGGTGAAACTCTTTTGAAGATGGTTGTTGATGAGAATGCTTTCTCCAGTCAAAGTTCTGAGGCTCCAGAGGTTATAAATGCACAGGACATAAGTATAACTGAATTGGATGTTGTTGATTTAGGGCTCAAAAGAGCAAAATCTGGTGGAGTGCTGTCCACGCCAGCTGTCCGTAATTTTGCAAAACAGTTAGGTGTAAACATTGAGGATGTGATTGGAACTGGACAAGAGGGAAGAGTGTTGAAAGAGGACGTATTGAGTTATGCTACGAGTCGAGGCATTTTCGAAGAAAGCTCGAAATTCTCGAATGCATCTTGCGGTGAACAATATGTTCAAGATCATCAGAAATTACCATATATTTCGCCGCCATATAAATTGGAGTTCGAAGATAGTACTATTCCCCTGAGGTACATCATCTAGAACACATAAATTTTGTTTTCTTTCTTCCATTATAATTAATTTTGAAATAGTTGACTATGGTTCTTTACTTTTGCAGGGGCTTCCAGCGTGCAATGGTTAAGTCTATGACATTAGCTGCAAAAATCCCGCATTTTTATTATGTTGATGAGATAAACTGCAATGCTTTAGTTGAGCTGAAAGCCTCTTTCCAGAATGAAAATTCTGACCCAAGTGTCAAGCATACTTTCCTACCTTCGTTGATAAAGTCCCTATCAATGGCACTTAGTAAATATCCATTGCTGAATAGTTGCTTTAGTGAAGAATTGCAAGAGGTGACCCTCAAAGGTATATAAACATAGAAAATCTTTGTTTTGAATTTGACAACCAAATGAAAAAACTTTTCTTTTTTCTTTTTGTTCTTTTCTTTGCATGGTAAAGGATCCCACAACATTGGGATAGCTATGGCTACTCCACATGGCCTTGTAGTGCCGAACATAAAGCAGGTTCAGACTCTCTCGATCTTGGAGGTATGGTTTTTGATTGGTTAAACTGTTGAGCTTTATTTACTTTCTTTTCATTTTTGGCCTTTTCCTCTCATTTTCTTGATTGGATAAAAAAAATTAAGATTCAATGATTTTTTCATGTATCCTCTTTTAGGTTTCTTCTGTATACAACTCTTAATCAAGTTGCCTTCTAAATTCTCTAGCTTTTTGAAATTCAAACTTCTTTTGTATTCGGCTCCTCTACCAAGTTCTCTTTCAGCCTGATATTGATCATGAAATCATATTTATGATTTTTTTTTTCTAAAATAATTTTTATTTTATTTTATTTGTCTTCACACCCGATTTCAGTTTCAAGCCGATTGCATATGATCATATTTTTGAAAATTGTCCCAATACAAAAGTTACTTGGACTATATCACCTAGCTATATGACTATAACAATGTGATACTAGTTTAATTAAAGAACTAATTGTGCATATCATCCTATGCTTCTTTTCATGGGATCCTTAAAGTTGATCGTTTTCCATAGAACCTTATCATTATTCTTTAGTCAGATTGCCTACACTTTCTTTTTTCCCACGAGTTCTTAATAATTGCTTAAATTTTCTCAGATAACAAAGGAATTGTCACGACTACAACAATTGGCCCTGGCTAACAAGCTTAGCACTGATGATATAACTGGAGGAACTATTACCCTAAGCAATATTGGTGCAATCGGTGGGAAATTCGGCTCCCCTCTTATCAATGTTCCGGAAGTTTCAATAATCGCAATGGGAAGAATCCAGAAGGTTCCTAAATTTGATGATGACGAAAATGTGTATCCTGCATCAATCATGACCGTAAGCACCTAAAGAATCTTTTTTATACTACTCACTATATACAGATGAAGCTGAAGGTTAATTTTACTAATTTATTCCAAGCAGATCAAAAGAATGGGAATAAAGATAACATTACTGTTGTTAAGAAATATTTTTTGCTTTTTTCACTCCTTCAGGTAAATATAGGTGCTGATCATAGAGTTCTTGACGGGGCTACTGTAGCAAAGTTCTGCAATGAATGGAAGATATATAATGAAAATCCCGAACTTATGATGTTGCACATGAGATAAAATTGCTAATTGAGATAGAATTGAAAATTTGCAGAAAAATGGGGACCAGTTCTTGAAGTCCCTCAGTGGATACATTGTAACAGGCCAAAGAATTATGCCACTAAATAATTTGTCCCTTTTTCTACCGGGTTGCAAACATGAAAATAATAAAGATTTCTTCAAATTTGTTCACTATTTTTGTAATTTTCATTTCTTTTTACATAAATTTAAAGTTCTATGCTAATGTTCTTACTTGATTACAATCAAATTTTACAATTCATTAAAGTTGGTTTTTGTTATATTAGCTTATGAAAATCTTTTATTCTTACTGCAAATAAGAAAAAAAAAATTATAATAGAACTAAAAATAAATTACAGCTTTAAAAATGAAAAGATTATAGCTAAGGCGAGTAAATTCTTTTCGCAAGATGAATACGTCTCGTGTAGTGCTGACGGTTCAGGCGTATCGTCCCTAAAGATACAACGACGATCGTCTTGAAATCTGTGGCACACTAGACTTACGTGTTCCGACGAACTGGAACGAAGTTGAGAACTGAGCACATAAAAATGAATGAAAATTATCTAATTTTTTTTTCTCTTTTTTGTTATTTTGATAACAAAATAGAACTATGAATATCCTATTTTTCTTTGTTTTCTTTTTCTCTATTTTCTCCTATGTTCTCTTGTTTATATCTCGTTCTCCTTCATCTGTTTAACTCTACACTCCCATATGCCATATATATATACGCATTTGCTTGATGAAAGT